TGCCGCATCTCAGGAAACACATGAAAATGTTATTTCTGAGAACCCTCCAATCGTTGGACAAACCAACGTGCAAGAACCTCTTCACGATCAAAATGTACAACCACAAACACAAAATATTGAACTCCGTAGGTCGACTAGGACTCGTCGTGAACCAATTAGATTGTCTCTCCTCTTTGAGGATCACGACGACATAGATATCCCTGATAAGGATGAGCCTAGGACTTACAACGAGGCTATGTCAGACATGGACTCGGAGAGGTGGCTTGAAGCCATGAAATCTGAAATGGACTCGATGTACACAAATCAAGTTTGGAACTTGGTTGATTTGCCAATTGGGGTTAGACCTATTGGATGCAAATGGGTTTTCAAAAGGAAAACAGATGCAAATGGCAAAGTACAAACCTACAAGGCTAGATTGGTTGCAAAAGGTTATAGTCAGCGTGAAGGCATTGACTATGATGAGACCTTTTCACCAGTTGCCAAAATTAAGTCCATTCGGATTTTACTTACAATAGCTGCATATCATGACTATGATATTTGGCAGATGGATGTTAAAACCGCTTTCCTTAACGAAAACTTGGAAGAGGATGTATATATGATACAACCTGAAGGTTTTATATCCAAGTCAAATCCAAAATTAGTTTGCAAGCTAGAGAGGTCCATTTATGGACTTAAGCAAGCCTCTAGGAGTTGGAATGTCCGTTTGGACAAAGCCATTAAATCTTTTGGCTTTGTGAGAAGCAGTGAGGATCCATGTGTTTATAGTAAACATGATGCGAGTACTATTGTTTTCCTTGTCATATATGTTGATGACATACTGATAATGGGAAACAATATTCCTCATATGCAGTCAGTGAAGGATTGGTTATCAAGTACCTTCATGATGAAGGACATGGGTGAAGCTCACTACATTCTTGGAATTAGGATCTATCGAGATAGGCCTAATAGAATGTTAGGGCTTTCGCAGTCCACCTACATAGATAAGGTACTAAGGCATTTTTCCATGGAAAATTCTAAGAAAGGGAACCTTCCAATGGGTCATGGCATCAAGTTGTCAAAGAAGGATTGTCCTTCTACTGATGTTGAACTTGAGCGCATGAAGAAGATACCATATGCTTCGGCAATAGGATCTATCATGTATACTATGACATGCACAAGGCCAGATGTGGCCTATGCGCTTAGTATCACTGGCAGATTCCAACAGAATCCTGGGGAGGAACATTGGAAGGCCGTTAAGACTATTCTTAAGTACCTTAGACGGACTAAAGAATATTTCTTAATCTATGGTGGGAATAACGAGTTAGCAGTTACTGGGTATGCTGATGCTAGTTTCCAGTCTGACCATGATGACTTTAAGTCACTGTCGGGTTATGCATTCATTTTCAATGGTGGGGCAGTGAGTTGGAATAGTTCCAAGCAAGCAACCACTGCAGATTCAACCACTGAGGCCGAGTACATTGCTGCATCTGAAGCCGCAAAGGAGGTTGTTTGGATACATGAGTTCTTAAAAGAACTAGGGGTAGTTCCAAGTGCCAGTAATCCAATATCTATATATTGTGATAACACCGGTGCAGTTGCACAGGCAAAGGAACCAAGATCCAACAATCGCAATAAGCATGTACCGAGGCGCTATCACTTGATTAGAGAGATAGTTGATAGAGGAGAAATAAAGATAGAACGTGTTCAGACTGAACACAACTTGGCTGACCCGTTCACCAAACCATTGTGTATAGCAAAACACAATAATCATTTTGAGAATTTGGGTATTAGATACGTTGGTGATTGGCTCTAGTCAAGTGGGAGATTGTTAGTATATGTGTCCTAGAGACAATCAATGTGGGACAAATG